TTGAAGTGAACTGAGATGCCCCGTAAAACAGTCCATTCTGTAAGCTCTTTGAATGTCCCCTGTCTGCCATGATACTACCCCACTCAAATACTGACGTAGAAAGAGTTTTCAATGCTGTGAATTATATCAAATCTAACCTAAGAAACATGATGAAATTCGACCTCTTAAATGCTATCTTGACAATAAAATTCGGCCTGACGAGAATAGGAAAACGCTGTTACACTTATCAGCTCTCTGATTGTGTATTAAAAGAAATTGGAACAGCTAAAGCATACCATTTTGGATCTGAAGCTTCAACTTCATCATCCAAGCTAAGTTTATCCTGTGGATCTTGTGAGGCAGATATCAGTGAATTGAGAAAATGATTCTATAGGGTAAGTCATATCAATAGCTTTGTAATTTGTGACTCTTTCCATCCGGATGTTTTTTTTTTCTAGATTTTTTCAACACAAGTTTAGATATTTTAAGATTTTTTAAACTCCTTTCTGGATGTTTTTTTGTCAAAGAAAAGTGGCAACACTGCCTGGTTCCGCCAGGAAAAGAGTTGCGTGCCCCTGTCATGGCCGCCGTGTGTTGATTCAACTTAGAATAAGTCTCTCTACAAACAGTTCATTGTTTTCTGTTTCTGATGCTGCTTGGATATTGTAACAATCGTGGGTACCCAATCTGTTAATTATATCAGTCCAACGGGGCATAGCAACAGCAAGATTTTAGCTTCTTGTGTTGGTCCTTTTCTGCTTTTTACTTTTTTTTAGCGTCAAGTTTGTCTGAAGAGGGATCGGTCGGGCAAGAGTTAATTAGATTATTAGAACTTCTACTAGAAGAGGTAATTTAATCCTTACCCTGACTATAAAGGAGTAAGGGGGGGGGGGGGGACCAAACCGTAATTTCGCACGTTTATAGCTCATTGTATTATGTGGTAAGTTTGCAGTTGATCCCATGACAGGATTGTCCGTTATGGTGCACAGTTTCCAGTTACTCAGTAACTTACTGTACCGGATATGATATACTATACTGCGTAAACTGAGCAAGTCAGATTCCAGAGCAGTGATAAAATTTCCGATGAAAAGTGAAGAAAATCATTGACCAAGATCGATAAATGACTATTTCGTGACATTTCTAATGTTATTAAACTGAGTAAAAGTACGGTTGCTAGAATTTACTCAACAAACTGAACATACACTCATACAGGCACTCAAAAATGAGTCTGTCAGAAAATATTTTGATGACTATGGTTACAGTAGATGGGACTTGGGTTCACCATTGTGACCCCTGATCCAAAATTGCTAGCATGCACTGAGAAACTCTAAGTTCCCCAACACCTGTCAAACAAAGGGCACTTTAATCTGCAGGGAAAGGGATTCTGATATTTTTTTTTTTTAGGATGCCAAATACTTTTGAAAGAACACTTGCCTCGAGGTGGAACTGTTGATGGACAGTATTATTTGGGTGTCACAAAACTAAGAAAAAGCTGTACTCTAACAAGAAAATCTGTGATAGTACGCACTGAGATTCTCCATTTGCTTCAGGAAAGTGCTTCTTCTCACAAGGCAGGGATGGTGCAGCTAACAGTAACAGCCAACAGTTAAAATATTGCAATTCTTCCAGACTCACCGAAACAAGCAGATCTGCTACCCTCAGGCTGGACTTTTTTTAAAAACCAAAAAAAAAAAAAAAAAAACATCAAAGGAATTTAGTTAGCCTGTGATGAAGTCACACTGGTTTGTGAAAGCTGCTTTAGCTTGGGAAAGGGTGTTCTATTTCCAGGGTCTTTTTAAGGTCAAGCAGAGATTGCAGAAATGTTTAAAATTGGAAGGTGGCTATATTGAAAAAGGTATAAATACTGTACACAATTTCAGCTTTTTATGGCACTTCTTTCATAGTCAAGGTAAGGACCTATTAATCACCCCTTCTATGTGCCATGTAGATGCTGGTATTGATAAGCTCAGATATTTTATTTATCCATCACTTGTGTGGTTTACCTCTGTGACTGCTTCCATTTTTTATGTACAAGGCTTTCTGTGGTGCATTGTCTGGTGGTAGTCTTAACATAGTCTAACTCTATTCTAGAGTTAAAGTAGACAGCCAATCAATCAGAACTCCTACATTTTTTTCTGCTTCGTCCAGTGATCCATCGGTGCATACATGTGTCCATTCAGGTCTTGGATAACAGTTGTAGACATGTTCAGGGGTCTTTGCATGCAGTACTAAATCACATTCTTCAGCCTTTCTGTCTGTGCCTGGAATTGTTGTTGTGACTGTATAGATAGGCTGTAGGTCTATGCTGTATGCCTGGATCATTTCCCATGTTGAAGGATCTTTAGAAAGGATGTCACTGTTTTTTGTGTAGTACAATTTTAATAGATGGTGAAAGCTTTGTATTTTCAGTCGGGTTTTAGTTAAATTATTTGCTATTTTGTGCACGGGGTTGTTCATCAGGTACGTTTAAATTTTTCTGTTAGGGTAAGCACTTTTTCTTTCCTTTGAAGGCTCAAGCTCTGGAGACCAGAAGTTGCCTCTGGCTTGTGAGTTGGTGTGCTTCTCATACCTCCAGTGATGATTGTGAGACCAATGTTCTGTGTTTTGTCCAGTTTGTGTAGGTTTGATTTGGCTGCAGTGGAGTATACTTCCATGCCATACTCCAGCTTTGGTTGTACATATTCTTTGTGTACTTGTTGTAGAGTGTTGGCATCTGCACCCCAGCTTGTTCCAGTAAGTTTCTTCATTTGTCGTCTCATATTTGGACATCTGTTTTCAAACTTGGTTTTGCTAAAGAAGTCACAAAAGAGAGACAGTGGAATTTTGATTACAAATGGCAACAGATGGACATGCCAAACAACATCAGAGGAGAGGCATCAACCTTCTTTCCAGTTATGCACCCATAATAGGTGCACAAAACTAAATAATACAGCTTCTCTATTCACACTCTACACTAGGCCTTTAAATCATCTTATACCCTATACAGGATAGCATCAAAAAAATATTGACAAAAACTATCAGAAGGCTGTTTACAAGAACATGACTAGTCCTACAGTAGATTCTAGCCCAGCTGTATCAATAGAAAAAGACAAATGACCTCATAAAATCTGCATAGTATCTCATGCAACTCAACTCTTCTAGGAAATTAACTATGCCATAGACACTATTTAAACAATCTTTGAAGTAAGACTGGAGAGACGATTAGAAAAACTGTAGACAGTATAAAAGTATGACAGTATGATAAACTTGGCAGAAATTTGCACAATTTTCAGACACAGTAAACACTGGGCACTTTTTTTACTGTATGGATCTTGTTGACTTTGCCACTTTCTGTTATGAAACATCAAAGCAAACTTATGCTCAGAGCAGGACTTGAAGATCGCCCAGACTTCCAGTCAGAGGAAAGAAATCTGGCCCACAAAAGCACTACTGCAAGATAAACTCCAGGCCACCAGAGACAAGTTCAGGTGTACGTTTTGTTTATGACCATTGTTAGAATGATGCGTAGCAACAACTGACTGCTGATAAAGAAGCTTTAATGAGGACTATCATCACAGAACTCTTGACAGATCCATTGGTGCTCCGAACTCCGCCTAAAAAGCCCCATAATTGTAAAACAACTATCATGCCCGTGCTGTGTTGAATAGAAACAAACATTTTGACTTTAGAAAAACGTTTGTGTCTGCTGCGTCCTGGTTGCCCACACAGATCCACCAAACTGGACAAAGTTAAGAGTCATGCCTGTCTCCATTATCATGTTTGCTAATAAATGGGGTAGTGGAGGATTAAAAAAAAAATTATTTTTAGGGTGGCTGTAGGTAATTTGTAAAAATATTTTGAAAAAGGTGCAGTGGATCCCCCAAAAAACGTTTGGGAAATGTTTAGAGGTTAATGTCGGCACAGGTCTGCATTTGCTTTGAGAGCTGACTCTAAGAGTTGTCAGAGCTGACTTTGTGAGGGTTGACTGTGTCAGAGCTGATTGTGTGAGAGCTGACTGTGAGAGCAGTAAGAATTGACTGTATGAGGGCTGACTGTTTGAGAGATGTGAGAGCTGACTGTTTGAGAGATGTGAGAGCTGACTGTTTGAGAGCTGACTGTGTGAGCTGATTGTGGGAGAGCTGACTGTGTAGGAGCTGTGAGAGCTGACTGTGTAGTGGTAAAGTACTTCATACTCACCTTCAGTCACACTGTGCTTTCCCACTGGGAGAGTAATGGGAGCTGAATGTGTGAGGGCTGACTATATGAGAGCAGTAAGAGCTAACTGTGTGCTGACCGTGAATGAACTGTGCTGTGTACGAGCTGACTGTGTGAGAGTAGTAAGATCTGACTGTGAATGAACTGTGCTGTGTACGAGCTGACTGTGTGAGAGTAGTAAGATCTGACTGTGAATGAACTGTGCTGTGTACGAGATGACTGAGAGCTGTAAGAACTGACTGTGCAGTGGTAAAGTACTTCACACTCCACACTCATTGTCAGTCACTACGTTTTCTACTGTGAGAGCAGTGATAGCTGACTGTGTGAGAACAACTATGTGAGAACTGTGCTGACTGTAAGAACTGACTGTTTGAGAACTGTGAAAGCTGACTGTGTGCAGTGGTAAAGTACTTTACGTTTTCCCAGTGTGTGCCTTTCTGCTCTTTCATACAGCATTTGTTTCTTCTGCAAACTGACCTCAATCAGTGAATGTGTGAATGATTCACATTGTAGATTTTTGTCTCTAGGTCATCAGTGAATGTGTGAATAATGATTTATCCTGTAGATTTTCTCTATCTGTAGGATGTCAGTGCATGTATAAATGATAATTTATGGTGTAGATTTTTGCTGTCTGGAGGACATCAGTGAATGAACATGTATGAATGATGAGTTATGGTGTAGATTTGGTCTGTCTGTAAGACAGTGAATGTATGAATGATGATTTATGGTGTAGATTTTGTCTGTCTGTAGGATGTCGGTGAATTTATGAATCATGATTTATGAATCATGATTTATGGTGTAGATTTGATCTCTCTAGGTCCCAGAAAATGGCGACAGGTGTGCCCAGCTACAAGGTGATCCTCCATGGAGAGTATGGAGTGGGCAAGAGCTCTATATTCCGGCGGTTTATGAACAACTCTTTTACTACAGCCACAGGCAAGCAGTCGACCATTGGCCTGGATCAGTGCAGCCGGACCATCAACGTGGGCTCCCAGGATGTCAAAGTATGTGGCAGCATCTGTCTCTCCTCGTTTACATGATGTATTGTTATACAGTAACAGTTGACAGTATTATTGACAGTAACTTGTTTGATTTATGACAGTAACTTGTGTGATTTCTGACAGTAGCTTATTTGATTTCTCACAGTAACCATAAAAAGATAATTACTATGAGGAAAGATGGAGGATATAACTAATTCAAATTTGAAGTTGGTTGCAGCAAAATGCCTCAAGGGACTGAGTATACTGCAGATTATGGCAGCAGTGGACATGCTGTTCACATTGCATCAACACTTGATGGATTAGGGACTGTTTACCATATCAAATTCTCAACTGATGAAGCTTGAATGCATACAGAATGAAACCACGCGGGTCATTCTGGGATGAATCAGAGGAGCCCCAGTATTATGTATGTGATAACCTCTTGCACTGGCGACTTTTGCAGAGAGGCTGAAAGTGCTGTAGCAAGTGAGGTCATACCTCAGAGTAGCTGCAGGCAAACAATGTATTATTTGTCAAGAGGAATGGGTCAGGAAACATACATTATTAGAGATACTGCCATGCTTGAAACAACTGGGGGGGGGGGGGGGGGGGGGGGGGGGGGGAGGAGGAATGGGTCAGGCAAAATACATAGAGATGTGTGCTTGCTTAAAAAAAAAAACTGCATGAGGAGAGCAAACCTTTGACTTAGTTTAATTACAGTGTGCCAAGAGTGCAAGGTTAGGCTGTCTGCAGTCATTTATTCAATAACTATTTAATGACAATTCCTGCCAATTTGATGTGGTTATCTAAACAGCTGGCTCTGTTGAAAGGCAGAAGTGTATGTGGATTATTTGCAGAAAACTGAATGGACATCACAGTGCAAAAATTTCTGGCATATCATACCGCAACAATTAGTTTAAAAATGGAGGTGGAGGTAGTCACAGCAGATTTTTGCTGGCTTGAGAATATTCTGGGCATTCATTTTATGATTTTAACAGACTCACAAAGCATGCTAAGAAAGGTGAAGAAAGGAATGCTCTGTGTAGAGTGGCAAGCATTACTTTACCATTGCCGAGTAGTTGGCATCCTTTCGGGAATAAACTTGCAAACAGATATTGTCTCCCTAATTGCATCCCATTTTAGGCTTACTATCTTGCTATAGAGTTATCCTGGATGTCGGTGAAAGCATATTCAAGCTGTTGTTGGAACTCAAAACACTTTTCAGGGTCTTCAGTTTTGGAAATATTTAACATAGGGATATATTTGTTTTTTGAAGTGAAAATTCTTTTTGGTTAATCCTAACACTTGTAGTAATTAGAGATTGGTCAGTATCACAGTCACACTGCGGTATCTGCAGGTTAGTGACACATAGTTGAAGCGCTGCCTCCTAGTGAGAAATAGGTCCTAATGGTGCCAATAGCCAGATCTTGAATGTTTCCATAACACCTTATGGCGGTCTTTTGTTGTCTTGAAAAAGGAGTTTGTGATGCACAGGTCACTTCTAATTAGGGCTGTACTGAATATTCGCTTCGGGGCTGAATAGTGGGCCTATTGACTATTCGGTATTCGGTCGAATAGTTGCGGTCGGGCTGAATACGAATAGTAGTTAGCTTACACCCGCTTCTGCATACACGGCCTTAATGCTGACAACATGGAACTATTGGTTTTGTTGAAAGCTAATGCAGTTTTCCTGCATTAACTAAGCTGTCAGTGACAATTTACAAGTCTAGTTACTTGTTATAATACTTAGGATTCTTTCATTCCTAGTTATTAGTTACCACAGACTGACGGAAGGATGCAAAAAAAATGTTTTTAAATGTTTATTATTCTGTACGAATACTAACTAGACATGAAAAGAATATAAACATTGGCCACATCCAAGTCGATAATATGAAAATCAAACAAACGGAAACATATAAGTACTTGGGTGCAAACTTCAACTGCTCCAACATGCTGAGAGAGGAATTACAATCTAGAATACAATCTAAAAATAAAGTATACTATGCCCTTCAACATCTACTAAAGTCAAAGTGTCTGTCTTGCAACATCAAGATCAAAGATGCTAACAGCGGGGAATGGAGAGTGAGAAGCAACAACGTAACACATAATCTGTAAGTCACCATTGATCACTGGCATCATGAGAGCTAACAGACTAAAATCTTTGGGGCATTTTGAAAGAATGTCAGATGACAGAGAAGTAAAACTGTATACAACTGAGAGATGAATGGGCGTAGACCATGAGGCAGATAAAAAAAGAAGTTCGAGAGATAATGTCCAGTCAGACCTGCAAACAACTGGTGTCACAAATTGTGAAGATAAGGCCAATCAGAGAGATGAATGGAGACGAGTGATATTTGCAGCAGTAAACCTCAAGGGCTCAGAATGCTAAACAAGAAGATGACTATTCTGTGCTACTTTATGTGAAGTAAAAGTTCAGCGTACTTTTGACATTATGATTTTTTTTAAAGGTATTTTTTATACATTATTCTTATTCGGCCGATTAGTTGGTCCCGATATTTGTATTCGGCCAAATAGTGAAGATCACTATTCGGTACAGCCCTACTTCTAATGAAGAATTCCAATAGTCTTTGCCTATTTTCATTCATGTGACTAACTTATATTTTCTAAGACAGACTGGCCATGAGTTTGAGTCTGACCCTACGCGAGCATTAAAATCACCCAGTATATAAATGCCATCAGATTTAGGAATTGTTTTCACTGCATTATTCAGTTCCTCATAAAAAGAATCATTTGCATCCTCCGTTGAAGTTAGAGAGACCTTGATGCAGTAACAAGAGTGATAAAACCGCTTAAGGTAGACAGTCGTAGGGATAATAATCTGCCATTTTCTCCATTTGAACTCTCAACTGATCCCAGCAGTGAATTCTTTACTGCAAATCCCATTCCATACTTCAGAATTTCTTCCTGACCTCTGCCTTTCCAGAAGAATGTATAATTATTTTCTGTAATGGACCCATCCTCTGACAGATGTGTTTCCTGTAGGCCAGCAAAATCTGTGAAAAGTTCAGCATCAATGATAGCCATTTTTCTTACAACATTAATGTTTTCCAGGTCAATGGAAAACCCGGGACACATGGTCCTCACATTTTAAGAGCCAATCAAAGCTTGAAGATATATTTCTTTTTATTGTCTGGTGTATTGGTTTACAGCCTGCGATTCAGATTTTGTCCTAGCTCCAAGCACCCTTTGAAGCATAAAGGCTGTGGCGGATCAATGCCTTATTGAGTGTGGGCTGTCCAGCTTGATGAGGGCGGTAATTGATCAGTGACATTTGAAGATGTCTGCCGGTAACCCGTGGCGCCCTTGTCTACACCAATTGACAAGGACTTATAACACGTAACTGCTGCCTTTTGATTTGTTTCCGAGACCAAATACGGCCAAGGATAAAGTTCTTACTCTCCAAACACAGTGCCTGGGCAGTATTGTAGAAACCATCTGTTGCTCATGCATCATGACACCACCACCACCCCCCTCCCCACCTTTTCCCCTAGACCTGCCTTGTTTACTCCAAAGGAAAGGTAATACCAGTACCTTTGGAACAAAGCATGCTGTAGAAGCTGCCGGATCAGAAGAGCAATGCTCTATCTGTCCTTCTGTCAGAGCTTCCCTTCTTGATCGGCTTCCAGGCAAGGCTAAGAACCTGGTCTGCCCAGCCATAACAAACTTTTCAGGTTGCATTTCCTCTTCCTAGGATAAGGTTTGAATCCTCCCCAATGTGCTCCTCCGCCCGAAGCCGCTGACACAATATGGGATGTCAGGTTTGGTATACACTGCCCATATACGGTAGCTCAGTCATATCTGACGAAGATCCCCCCCCCCCTCTCTCTCTCTCTCTCTCTCTCTCTCTCTCTCTCTCTCTCTCTCTCTCTCTCTCTGTGTGTGTGTGTGGGCATTCAAATGTGTGTGTATGTATGTATGTATGTATGTATGTATGTATGTATATATATATATATATATATATATATATATATATATATATATATATATATATATATATATATATATAATACTAGATAGACAGACAGTGCAGTTTTTCAACAAAGTTCACTCAGGTTCAACATTTCTTTATGCCAGCATTAGTGGTTGTTTGTGGGCACTTATGTCCCCTGTATTTTACTCCACCTTGTGTGTGTGTGCGCATGTGTGTGTGTGTGTGTGTGCATATAGACACCTTACTGCGGGCTATTCAACAAAGTTTGCTCAGGGACATCATTTTGAAAATAGTGATCCTCACGATCCAGAGGCCCTGACCCCAGTCTAGAAAGTTCATTAATGCACCTGGCAGTGATGCTCAGATTACTTGTTAGTTAGGCCACCACTCCAATAGTCCTGCATTATTGGGTGTGTCATCTCTGTGCCTGTTTATCTGAGAGAGAGAGAGAGAGAGAGAGAGAGAGAGAGTCAGTCTGCAGTGTGTGCAACAGTGACAGCACACTGGCTTGTTTGTTACAGCTGACCCTGTGGGACACGGGAGGCATGGAGAGGATGTCATTTATTGGCTCCAGCTACTACAGGGGAGCACATGCAGCACTGCTGTGTTACAGCGTCAACAACAGAGACACCTTCACCATTCTGTCCCAGTACATTCTGGACATTGTCATGAATGCAGAGGGGGCCAAGATCTTCCTCTGCGGGAATATGTCTGACCAACTGAGCTCGGAGACTGCTGCCAACGTGGTGACAGATTCTGACCTAGAGCAGTTCATGTCCCAGTGTGAGGATGTCCTCTCAGGTGTTTACAGGGTATCATGTAAGGACAGTACAGGACTGGATGAGATGTTCATGGACATGGCCAAGGTCCTGCACCAAGACTCTGTCTCTCGGATGACACTCCGCAGAGACTTGATCATACCAGGTCACACACCAGATAGAGATGTCAACCCAGGTTCTGACAAACGCAGGTGTTGTTAGTTCTTTTTGGCATTTAGTGGTCACTGGCAAGATAGCAGTCAATGACAGGTGACAGCCAGTGACATGTAATATGTAGTCATTGTCAAGGTGGTAGTCAGTAACAGGGGAGATGTCAGTATGATGCTGTCAGTGGCAAGGTGGCAGTCAGTAACAGGGGAGATGTCAGTATGATGCTGTCAGTGGCAAGGTGGCAGTCAGTAACAGGGGAGATGTCAGTATGATGCTGTCAGTGGCAAGGTGGCAGTCAGTAACAGGGGAGATGTCAGTATGATGCTGTCAGTGGCAAGGTGGAAGTCAATAACAAATTGTCTCAACTGTAAATGTTAGGTTGTCAGCAGCAGCCAGTGACAGGTTGTCAGTGGTATCCATTGACATGTCAGTGGCAGTCAGTAACTAGTTGTTATTTGCATTCATTGACTTATCAGTCAGTGTCAAGTTGTCAGCAGTGTCCATTGATAAAACAATTAGGAACAGTGGTTCCCATTGACAAGTCAGTAGCAGTCAGTAACAAGTTGTCAGCAGTATCACTGACGTGTCAGCTGTAGTCAGGCTTCCGGTCAAAATGGACGCTAAGCACGGCCACTGTTTTGAGCCGTGGCAAATGTTTTGCTTCTGCCAGATGGTGGCCGTTACATTTAGCTCCATTTGTAGACTGAAAGGATATAGTTTCGTCGCCCAGCTTCTGAGTTGAGTGCATGGCATGACACTGAGCGGTGGATTTCATTTGGAATATGACTGGTGCCATTATGTGTCAGCAACTGCTGATCTGTTGGTGACTTCTGTTACCATCCATGATGAACTACATTTCTAATGTCGGACTGTTTGTGTTAGCACTTCGAGTGGCTACCATATGCTTTTAATGCATGTGTTTGCTAAATTTGCTGAGACAGCAGTCTGTCAATCTTTCCAAAAGGGACTGTGATAAACATTCTGTGTGTTTTTCGTTGGCACAAGAGCGGAGCAACTATGGGGTTACCCGTTTTCTATGAAGCTGAAACTAAGATTACCAGATTACCAGTCAGCAACTAATTCTTATTTGCATTTATTGACTTATCAGTCTGTATCAATTTGTCAGCCGTGTTCATTGACATAACAGTCAGTAACATGCCAGTGGCAGTGAGTAATCATTTGTTGGTATCCATTGACATGTCAATCAGTTTGAAGTCAGTGGTATTTGTTGACATGTCAGTAGCAGTCAGTAACAAGTTGTCGACAGTATCCATTGATGACATGTCAGTCACTAATAAGTTGTCATTGGTATCCATTGACATGGCTGTCATGGCCATTGATATATTGTTAGCATCATTCTGTCATTCTGTCACAGGATATCACTATTAGGTTGCTAGTAACATGACAATAATATTCTCTAACATGCTGTCATTTGCAATGGGTGACAGGGCATATTGTTGCAACTGTGAGTGACAGATGGTTGCAACTGTGAGTGACTGATGGTTGCAACGGTGAGTGGTATATTTCTGCAGCGGTGAGTGACAGATTGTTTGCAACTGTGACTGACAGAAATTTGCATCTGTGAGTTATATTGTGTTGCAAGTGTGAGTTACCAATTACCTGTGAGTTATATTGTGTTGCAAGTGTGAGTGACAGATTACCTGTGAGTTATATTGTGTTGCAAGTGTGAGTGACAGATTACCTGTGAGTTTTATTGTGTTGCAAGTGTGAGTGACAGATTACCTGTGAGTTATATTGTGTTGCAAGTGTGAGTGACAGATTACCTGTGAGTTATATTGTGTTGCAAGTGTGAGTGACAGATTACCTGTGAGTTATATTGTGCTGCAAGTGTGAGTGACAGATTACCTGTGAGTTATATTGTGTTGCAAGTGTGAGTGACAGATTACCTGTGAGTTATATTGTGTTGCAAGTGTGAGTGACCGATTACCTGTGAGTTATACTGTGTTGCAAGTGTGAGTGACAGATTACCTGTGAGTTATATTGTGTTGCAAGTGTGAGTGACCGATTACCTGTGACAGTGACTAATTGCCAGTAACTAGCTTTTAAGTGTAACTGCCATCTATACATTGGATTTGTGAGGACTATAATCACAGCACTCTAGACATATCTATAGATGCTCTGATCTCTTCCTTAGTAGCTTCACAATAAACAAACTGTGCCTTAAATAACATGTTAAAGTCTGGCAGATCCAGACTGTACCCCCATATCCTGAAGCCTGGCTAGGGATACAGGCTGTACCCCCATATCCTGAAGCCTGGCTAGGGATACAGGCTGTACCCCCATATCCTGAAGCCTGGCTAGGGATACAGGCTGTACCCCCATATCCTGAAGCCTGGCTAGGGATACAGGCTGTACCCCCATATCCTGAAGCCTGGCTAGGGATACAGGCTGTACCCCCATATCCTGAAGACTGGCTAGGGATACAGCCTGTACCCCCATATCCTGAAGCCTGGCTAGGGATACAGCCTGTACCCCCATATCCTGAAGCCTGGCTAGGGATACAGGCTGTACCCCCATATCCTGAAGCCTGGCTAGGGATACAGGCTCATGTGTCTATTTTATCTGATGAAACCAGCCTGGATTTTGCCCAGCATACTCAGTAGGTCATTCAGTATGCATACATGTGTGAACTTTTGAGTACATGGTATGTCACTGACAACAGTTCATACATACAAGTCAACAGGCAGCAGTTCATATATGCAACCAACCGTTTTTATATATGCAAAAGTTCATTCATACAACAGGTCAACAGGCAACAGTTCATACATCACAGCCTTTGCAACAGTTCATACATGCAAAAGTTCATACATGCAAAAGTTCATACATACAGCAGGTCAACAGGTAGCAGTTCATACATGCAACCAACCATAAATATATGCAACAGTTCATACATCTCAGCATGCAGTTATTTATCTGAACAACCAGCAACTTATGTATCTAAAAGTGCAACATACATATGTCATATCACAGTATGTGGCATATATCTCACTGTGTGGTATGTATCTCAACATGTGGTTTATGTTATATCACATGTCATATTTATTTTCACATGTGGCTATGTTAAATCTGAACATGTGGTATATGTTATATCTCAACATGTTGTATATGATGTAACTTAGCATATGGTATATGTTATATCACAGTGTATCATATAAATCTCAATATCTGGCATCTATCTCAACATGAGTTATATGTTAAATCTCAGCACATGGTAATGCTCACAGGCTGGAGGCCAAAACCAGGATAAGAAAGGTACTTATCAGAGAGCTGCTGTTTGCAGGCAATGCCACAATAACCACCCACTCAAAGGAGCAGCTGCAATGTTTACTATCTAGCCTTTGCTGGTGCATGCTGTTAATTTGGACTAACAGTCAGCAAAAAATAGAGAAAAAGGTTAGGGTGCAAGGTGTAAATGATAGACCTACAGTCTACATTGACGGTGAAGAGGTGGAGACAGTAGACCATTTTACCTATCTGAGTTTCCACAGTGAATAAAAAACTATCGCTGGACCAAGAAATCAACATCAGGATAGGTAAGGTAGCAACAACAATGAGTAGATTAACAAAATGAATTTTGGAGAACAGAAAGCTCACGATAAAACAAAAACCCTTGTCTATCAGGCTTGTGTTCTCAGCACTCTGCTTTATGGCAGTAAAACTTGGTCAACTTATTTGCATCAGGAGAGACGGCTAAATAGCTTTCACATGCGATGCCTAAGAAGAATACTCGACATTAAGTGGCAGGACAAAATCACAAACACTGAGGTACTGGAAAGAGCAGGTACTACAACAGTCTTTTCCATGCTCAGTCTACGAAGTCTCAGGTGGCTGGGTCACACCTGGAGAATGAAGGGTGGCAGCATCCCTAAGGACATTCTTTATGGTGAATTAAGGATGGGTAGAAGATGTTGATGCTGACCTATACTACGATATAAAGATGTGTGCAAGCTGGACATGAATGATACGGGTATTGAAGTGGACACATGGGAACAAAATGCCATTGACCCTGTTGTGTGGGGAGGGCATATCAGGAAGGGAATGAGAGTGAAAAAAGAAATGAGTGCACACAAGACGAGAGCTGAGCGTCTGAGAAAAAAATGGATTAATCACAAATGTTGACAACACTGAAATCCCATGCTATCAATGTGGAAGATTTTTCTTAACACGGGCGGGTCTTTCTAGTCACACTCGCCATCGCCATGGGCTGTGAGTCCCATGCCTCCTCATAGTGCAGTATAACACTATCTTCCGGAAGGACGGAAAGGTGCCAGTCAGTCAGTCAGCACATAGTATAGATCCCAACATGTGGCATATATCTCAGCATGTGGTATATATATAAATCTCAACTTGTCTCTTGCTGGGATTTTCAGCTAGAATGAATGGGAAAGATTGCGACAGAACAAAGTAGAGCTTTTTATGTCTACAAGTTCAAGCATGAGAATGGTATTGGGAGAAAGACATGATACTAGATGAAAGAACATGTGTAAGACTGGATACTAGATGAAAGAACATGTGTAAGACTGTGGATACTAGATGAAAGAACATGTGTAAGACTGTGTGAACAAGGAATTAGGAGTGGGTCCGTCAAGAAGGGACGTATGAGAGAAATAGAATGATGCGTGTATAATCAGTGTGCTATGGGGATAGCATCTGCCCCAGTGAGCTATAGGGGTAGTTAGCATCTGCTAAGACATTTGCTGTGGAGTTTGGAGCATCTATAAGTATGCCCTGTGTGCTATGATGTCAATTTTTAAATGAGTAATCAGTAATCCCAACGTGTGGTTGACAATTTTGTTATCAGGCCAGAAATTCCAGATTACAATTCCATTGCCAGCAACCAGTTATTTTTCTCCTGAAGTTAGAGCAATGCTGCGTCTTTGACAGCAGCACCATGTCAACACTGATGTAGTCTCTGGCTGAAACACTATTCACCAATGATTCTGTCACTGACAGAAACACCATGTCTCCAATGACGACGTCACTGACAAACACCATTTCAGTAGTGATGTTGTCTCTGACAGAAACATAAT